AAAATATATTTTGTCAGCTTTTAGGATGTAGAAACAGTATAATTTAGATAAAAAAAAACAATAAAACAACAACTTTAGGTTAGAAAGGAAAGTCACCCGCATAACTTCAATTTTCTATTAATATATTAAAAACTTTTTGTTTATGTTCTTTTTGGTATGTCCTTTCTAGAATGTTCTTTGAGTACGTGCTTTTAAAGTATATTTTAAAAGTATACGAGCCGAGAATCATATCATTTGGCCCATAAAAAATAAATTTTTAAATTCTTCAGTCTTTTCTTCCCATTAGCTCCTTGTCTCCACTTGTCTCCATTGCCTCTACCTGTCCGCTTGTCTCTGCCTATCTGCTCGTCTCTACCTATCTTCTAGTCTTTACCTATCTGCTATTCTCTACCTGTGTGTTCTATTCGTGTCTGCCTGTCTCTGCCATGTGTATCTGTTCTGCTTTTACCTGTTCTTTTTATGTGAACGTTTGTCTATCTCTGCTTATTTGTCACTCTGTATACTTTTCACTTTTTTTTAAATAAAACTTTCTTTACCTTTTTTATTTTATTCCTACAGTTCTCAAATCAATCTAACAATATCTCCAATATAATTAACTAAAAATCCAAACATAATCCAAAACAAAAATTCTAACATAACCCTCTGACAATCTAATTTTTTAATCACATTTTCTTTTAAAAATTCAACAAAACCCCGATATTTTGATTTTTACTTCAATTTTGATTTCAAGGCACTTCATCGTTCAAGTTAAATCATAAATTTGATGACGTCAGGAATTTATATATCAATACATAAACTATCCTCCCACTACCTCTTATAAATAAAAATTCATTTAAATATCGATGCAGAGGTTTTATATGATCGCCACTGATATTAAACCACTAAAAATCTAACCCGCAACCCTTAAAACAACATATTGTTGGACCTTTTTCCTGGATAACCTGACAGAAAACATTTTTTACATTTTTTACAAAATGATTTTTATGATTTTCTCATTGAATTGCCTTTAGTACAAAGACACAACTGATTCTTTCAATTAGATGGTGCCCCCGCACATAATTCACTGATAGTTAGGAACTTTTTAAATGCAACCTTCCCTATGAAGTGAATAGATAGAAATTCTCCTTTAGAACCATGACAACTCAGATCGCCGGATATTATCCCTTGTGACTTTTTCTTTGGGGGAACTCGAAAAATAAAGTGTATGCAACTCGGCAGCGTAATAGGGAGCAGCTCTGCATTATAGTTAGGCAAGCATGTAAGGAAGTTACTCCTCAACCTTTAAGAAAAGTGAATGTACGTTAAGAAGACTTGTTGAAAAGTGTATTGTTTTAGAAAGTACTTATGTTGAAAAATCAAGAATCTAAAATAATGTGATTCGTAATTTTGTTACCTCAGTTACAAATAAATTTATTAAAAAAGTGACTTAAATTTTTTTTCTGCTAAAATCAATTCTTGAGATTTTGAAAATATGAATTAAGGGGTTTTTGGCATGTTGATTTTAAATTTATCTAAAATAAGCTCTTATGTCCTTTTTCCATAAAATAAAGCCTTTTTTACCCCTGAGCACCAATGATTAACACAATTTGAAAATAAAAAAAAAATTAAATTAAATAACTTGAAAGAGACTTTGTGGACATGTACTAAATTTATAATAAATTTACAATAAAACGTGACTCAATGTACATATAGGTAAAAATGATCAGGTGTCAGGCTGACACTTATCTCTTTCGGTTGGACGATCGAGGATTTTCCAGCACTTAACTGAGACGTTGGGAAAGTGACACCTCCTGGGTGTTGTCGTTCATTTAAGAGCCCCAAAAGAACGTGGTATTGATGTCTGGTTGACTCTAGTAAACGTTTTTTCCAGATCTACTGTCTATTCTACTGAGTTTGGTGTTCCTCCCGAAATCCTCTTTGTATTGTTTTATCCTCTTTATAGTGCTCTTTCCTCTTTATGAAAAAAACACTGTGTCAGTCACTTATAAAAAAACTTTTCCGTCTCTTAACATGTGTTACATAAAAATAAAGTGCCAAAATAAGTACATTTACATTAAACATTACAGCGATTAATTAGATTCGCAACAGTATCGAGTTACCTTATTAAAAGATGGAAAAATCGTATATCTTGATAAAGAAACCTAACATGGCCGACTTTTTTTAACAGCATGAAAAACTTTTTTATTGTTGTAACAAAACTAAAAACAGTTCATGAAACTCACGTAATAATCTACAAGCAAAATGTTAAACCTGCAAAGTCACTTATCAAGCAATTCTAAATATCCAAATATATTAAATCATTACCTTTAGTTGCCGACAAAATACACAGAACTCTATATCAGAAACAACTCGATAAAATTTCAAACAGAATAGACCGCTGCTCATTTTCAACGCCATCTAAATACACCGTTCCATCGCAAGACTGCGCAAAAGCGAAAGTATTGCTTTACAATTTCCAATAAGTAACCTTAAAAAATATGAGGTTCATACAAATGATATTGTTGAATGGTGAGGATATTTGGGAATTAGAACAACGAACGTTAAACCTAACGTTACAAATGTACTAAATGCAAATAAAGTATGTCCTCAGCATACGCGTAATCCTAAAAAATTATATACTAAGAATATGCTAAGAATGTATAATTGTTATATGTGTTGGACACATCAGAATTGTAACTAATATGTTTTGAAATCGAATCTCTTCGTATTAATTCAATGTACAATTTTTGTTCATATTTTTAATAGCTTCTTTTATTTGTTGAAAAGAGTTAAATGTCGGCCCCCAAATCTATTTCCCTCTAAAATGTATTATTTAACTTGTATTCATGTTGATAATTCAGTCCTTATTAAAAAAAAACTATTTAAAGACAAAATTACTTGCATCTCTAAATATTTCTTGCAATGAGCTATCAACATAAAATATGTCTTTTATGTGACTTGGAGAACAATTTGAGAAAATAAAAATACAGCTATGATGCAAATAATGATATATTACATAAATAGTTTAAAAAGCAAAAAATATAACAGAACATTCGAAATAAATACTTGCCGTTGATAAAAGTTTAAATGTTATTCACAACCAAAGAAATTGTATTCTCTTTAACTAACTTCAATGCATACGATTTTAGTGTAACTGCTCGAATTAATAGTCTTCCACACTGTTCGTCCCGGCGCCATTTTATGTCCGGATGTTTAGCACAATCTGCTATTTATCCGAGCGCCCGGACGAATTGACAGTCCCTAAGTTATTACTAGATTTGTAGACTGGAAAAAAGGAAAACATGGATATTAGCTTATTTACGCACAGACTACTAAACGAAAAAGTATGCTACTGCGTTCAACTGAACCAATATATTTTATATTTATTCTAGGTAGTGAGAACACTGCAAAAAAAAATGAAATCCACCAATAATAGTTCATATTTTGGTCACATAACTACTATTATTAATAAAATTTTAAATAAGTGACAATTCTGTCAAACTAATTGACAGTATATTTTTTAGTTATTGAGAATAAATATAGAGTAAAGTGAGTCTTGTGTAGAATCGATAAATAATAGTATTTCTATTTTTATTTCGTCTATTATAAATAATTCGTTAATTTTAATAAAACAATATGAAGTCAATTTAATTACAAGTATCAAAAATTTTAAAAGCCTCTATGGTAATGAGGTCAGAGCACTTGCCTTTCATGCGAAAAGCCCTGGTTCAAATCTAGAATAGAGGCAAATTAAATCTTTTTTCTTTTTGTTTTCTTCTCAATTTTATTTTCTAAATTAGTAAAGTTCAAAAATTATAACCTACCATAATTTTTAATATTTGTAGATTTTTGTTAGTGGATCGTAGAAAAAATATACTGTACAACTCGAGTGAATTGTCCATATCGCATTCAAAAGATTGAGCACTCAGCTTAGCGGCGTCGTGCTCAAATTTTGTGTTCGTATTATGGCCATCATATCCACCCTTTTTGCACAAACTACTATTTTATTTGAAAAAATCTGATATGTCCAACACATGACTTTCCTATCTAGTTATTATAGGCTTTTTCCGGTTATTTTGTACAACCTATTGCAACACCTCTATAAATGTTTAGAGAATAAACTAAATATATACATTTTCCACATACATCTTCCTCGAAACATTTTTCTATAATATATATTCCATAAAATATAAAACGGCCTCCCATAAAGTACCCCCCCCCCCCCAGATGTTCCGACTTCGTCCAAAATCTAATCATTTCACCTCAGGCCGAAATAAAACTTAAATTTAAAATTTAATGTTTTTTCCTTTATCCGTTGAGTTTTCTTCAAAATTCGAAATTTACACATTTTCTCAAATATCTGGAATGCGGTTTATTTTAGAGAAATTATGTATAGGATAAAAATTATAAAGAATTATATTAGAAACAACTTTTATTTGAACAATTTTTATAAAAAAATATTTTTTTTTACATTTTGTCAAATTTATCTTCAAAAATTTTGTAAGGAACAAAAATAATATTTCAAGTAACTTTTATTTGAACAATTTTCTTTTTCAAACGTAAATAACGGATATATTCCATAAAATATAAAAATTACCACCTATAAAGTACCCCTCTTAATGTTCCGACTTTGCTCAAAATCTAATCAGTTTACTTGAAGCCAAAATAAAGCTTAAGTTTTAAATTTGGTGTTTTTCTTTGTATCGGTTCATGAGTTACGGTTCATGAGTTATGGTTCATGAGTTATGGTTCATGAGTTATGGTGAATACAGACACACACATACACACACATACACACAAACACACACACACACACACAGACACACACACAGACACACACACAACACACACACACACACACACGCGCGCGCGCGCGCGCGCGCGCATATTATTTTCTTTAAAAACTGTTCACTGTCTTTTTTGCAGAGTAATTTTTCAAAAAAATACGATATCTCGCATCATTCACTCTGATGCAATTCTTTATGCCATACATACTAGCAGTAAACTCTTGAACGGTGTCCATTTTTTCGTCTTTGAAAATTTCGGCATCATCAGTTAATAACGCAAAAACTGTTTGGTACCTTTCATTTTTCAAAAATAACTTAAAAGGTTTTACTTTTCCTTTATTGTAAAATGCTGCCGTGTAATCGCAACCTGTAAATGCATGGAAAGCGGGTAGACTTCGGCATAATTTGGATCCCAACTTCAACGCTAAATTGGTGCAATTAATGCAATCAAGATTTTGGTTATTTGTCTTTCTTTGTTGCTGAATTGGCTAGCCAAATTTCAGATTTCGAAATTTCGTGCATATTTCCCAACAAAATAATCAAAACATCAGTATCAGAGGCTTTTATTAAAATTCTTGAGCCTGGTGCCGCTTTATAAGCGTGAAAAATAATCCTCGTATCCGCGAAGTACACAACCTTGTTGTTTTCTATTTTTTGTATTGTAATGAAATTTGATAAGGATTCAGAAGCTAATTTATTCAGTTGTCTATATTTGACATAACTGGAATCGGTAGATTCTTCGGTGGACCGCTTCTCTTTTGTTTGATACACTGCGTGACAATACTGATGGTACGCAACAGTTTGATGTTGAAGTTTCGAGAGGATCTCTGAATCACCAAAATTTTCAGCCATATTTTTTTGTAATGGCAATTTTTCACTTCGAGGAAATATTAGATTAAGTAATTGCCTCCCACATCTTTTTTGCGTGCGATCGCAAAACAGACAAGTGATTTTGCTTGATGTCGATGCTGTTGATGTTGACGGCTCCTGAAACAATTTAAATCATATTTAATATAAGAATCGACAAAAAAGTATAGAGCATAAAAAATCAATTAATGGAGATTTTTATTTACACGACTGAAAAATGATACCACGAAAATGTTTATAACTGTTCAAAAAAAAATTATATATAACTTAACTAAATTGTTGAAAATCGGACTTTGGAATTTAAAAAATTAAAAAAATTAAAAAAATTTATATATGTTGTCTGAAAATTACTAGAACAATTTTTGAAACAGATTTTTTTATGTTAAAATTACCAAAAAATCTGGGTCAAAAGTAATTAAAACTTTGTACAGAATAAATGAAATAAAAAAAAGTCTTCGGGAATTGATATTTACAAAGAATAAAAGAAATAGTTACATTTACATTAAATATATCAATAAATAACTAAAAGTACTAAATCAATTTTTACAATGAAATTATTGTTCTCATATGAAAATACTGACAAAAAAATACAAGTAAATAAAAATTGCTCAAAAAAAATAACAAAATATTTAATTACCTTGTCAAAATCCGCAGAAGTCTGAGACGTCATTAACATTATTGTCTTCACCCTCAGTAACTGTCGTACAGGACACTAGAATCCAGACATTTTGGGTCTTCATCAGCGGTAGATGTTTTGGCATGCACCTTAAAAGTGAATTTTCGTGATTAAATAAAAATGTTTGATATATAATTTTGATTAAATGTTTGATTTAGATGAATGAAGATATCCTCAATAATAATGTTACAAAGAGTCACAGAAATCAGATTTTTTTTGTTTATATAACATTTTTTAAGGAAATAATTAAAAGTTTATGCATGTCGAAAATTAACAAAACAGGTGCAATTTTTTCAAAAAAAATTATTTTTTAATAATTTATTTAAAACAAAATGAAAATGTGTCATTATGTCGTTATAAAAATATGGAAGATGTATTTACTAAGATAATTTAGAATATTCATTTATTATGTACTTACTGTATTTTCAGCACTAAAATTGTTAAATTCTTTCCTATATTTTTTATTCAAAGCAGGTGGTATGATAACCAACAAAATCGAGAGATGCATTGTCTTTAAAATTTCTTATTTTACGAAAAGCCAATTTCAATGAACAGTTTTTAAAAGTTTCAACGTTAAAATCAATTACACCGTCATCCATGTTATACAAAAAACACTTTTTAGCCATTGATTATTACAATATAATGTTAATAAATAACAACGATAAGCAGTAGCACGTTTTTTTCAATTCTATCGCGCGTATTCATTCACAACAATATTTTTCTCTTTAAAAACCGACAACCGGTATTCAAGACAACAATCGCAGACAACCTTATATCATCGTGTTCGTAATTAAATTATCTTTATTTTAACATGTTTTATTTATTAAACAGACGAGTGCAAATTATTAGTATCGACTTACCTGTTTATACCTGCCTACCCAATAGTTATGACTGAAAAAAACTTGTCAACCTAACGTTTGCATGTTCTATAGTCTTCATACTTTTGATTGGTATGTAATTTGTCTATTAAACAATCAAGTGCAATGTTTAAAAAAAAAACATTTTTATATTTTTAATTAATCATATCCTGGACTGAAATTTTTCAGTCAACCTATTCGCAATATATTACTTAACGTATTAAATTTGATATAAATTACTTTTCATCCATTAAACAGACGGGTGAAGGTCGTTTCCCTATTCGGATCTTAGACTAGAAGACTCGAATGATAATTATTTAAATGCCTCTCTAAAAAATGATCCAAATTTGTTAAAACTCATACCTCACGTATTGGAGTAACAGCTGATATTGAAAAGGCTTTCCTTAAAATAAGTGTAACACCATAAGACAAGGAGATTTAACGATTTTTTTGCTTGAAAGACTATAACCAAGGTATCAAGAAAGAAGCGAGGCATTACAGAGTAGTTTTTGGTGTCAAATACAGTCCATTTCTTTTGGTAGCCACTATTGCTTACCATTTAAATAAGGCACCAGAGAATTTAAGAGCAACGGCGGAAAAACTTAAAGAATCCTTATGTCGATAACTGTGTCACAAGTGTTGAAAATGAACACGAATTGGAAAAGTTTATTCACGATTGTAAGTTACTCATGCCATTTGCCAAATTTAATTTAAGAGAATGGGTTCATACACAAACTATTTATTCTGGAGAAGTCAGTAAACCAAATATTTCTCCTATATTAGGAATGTTGTAGGATGTAAACTTGGATGTACTCTTTTGTGACCTTAAAATTCTAAATAATCCACAAAGCATCCAGAGAACTCAGCAAGATTTATTGTCTACGGCTCAGAGGATTTTTGATCCCATAGGGTGCACTTGCCCAGTCAGTCTCATACCAAAGTTGTTGTTATAGGAAACTTGGACGCTTCAGCTAAATTGGGATCAAAAACTGCCTGTGCAAATCAAAACTTAATTCGAGAAATGGATAAATCAAATTCATTTATTAAGCTTATGCAAAATTCCTAGAACAATTTGTACATTTTTAAATTTATCAGAGGCGAATAATCTGTCACTACATGTACTCTGCGATGCTTGTAAATTAGCTGTAAGTACCTGCATATACCTTAGAGCTAAAAGACAAGATGTATCTATTTAGTTAGTTTAAGCAAAATCTAGAGTAGCTCCTAAGAAATTAACTCTGCCTAGACTTGAGTTGCTTCTACAGTAATTGGAATACGTTTATGTCAATCTATAAAAGAGATACCATTGTTTAAACAAATAAAGACTAATTATTGGAGTTATTCAATGGTAGCTTTGACGTGGATTAAAACAAAAGCAAACTGGAATACTTTTGTTGGAAACAGAGTCAAGGAAATCCGACTATGCAGTCAGATTGAAGAATAGAATCATGTTCGAGATTCCATCAATCCAGCTGATGTTACCTCTAGAGAATGTAGCGTTTAAACATTACTGGAGAATAAATGGTAATGAAATACTTTATTCTGAAAAAGAAGTTAATGCAGAAGTAAAGAAATCTGTAAGCATTATTATGGTATCTGAAATTAAAATTATTAAGAAGCTTTTATATTTTTCCAAATACAATAAAATTTTAAGGATGATAGCTTGAATATTTCGAAGAAAAAGAAATCAAAAATATTTAGTGTTTTTACGTTCGAGGAAGTCAATAAAGCCGAAATTGTGCTCTTGAAAATGGTTCAGACACAGTAGTACAGAAATTAAAATAATGAAAAACTTAGAAACCTTCAAAGATAAAAATGTTATTATTAGAATAAAAACTAGATTAGTTCTTGCTAAAGATAATGACAATTATAAATTTCCAATTATATTACCATTTAAAAACGAAATTATCCATAGGCTAATAGAATATCAACATAATGTTCATAGTCATGATGGACTACAAATATTATGCAGCTGTTTTTCAAGTCACAGGTATAGATTTAGCTGGACGCTTATATCTAAAAGAAGGAGGAAAAGCTTGGATTTTTTTATTTACCTTTACTGAATACAGAGCGCTACATTTAAAATTGGTAAAATCACTTTCAACTGATAGTTTTATAATGGCTTTAAGACAATTTTTACCAAATAGATCCAGAGTTTCAACTATATTGTTATTTTCTTTCTAGTCTTTCATCTTCTTTTTAATTAACTCTTCCAGCTTCTTTTTCAAAATACCTACTTAATTCTTTTAAACAAAATCTTTCTTCTGCTAATATTCTATTTTTTTTTTTCGACTTATTTCTCACTGTCATATTTATAATGATTAGTTCCTTTTTCTGTTCTTATTGTTCTTTTCTTTACCAAGGTATTTTATAAATTTTGACTATTTTGTTATTATTCTATTTTTTATACAATTTTTTTTATGTTTATAACATTTTTTAATTATCCTATTCTGTACATTCTCTATTATTTTCTATTTCTAAAAATGCATTTTCCATAGCCTTATGTTCTTTTTGTCAAATTTTACATCATTAATCCCCTTTCAAAACTTTGTACCTTTTCTTTTACTTTATTTCTGACTCTCTCTTTTTCAGTCAGTCCCCTGTTCTTGGTTATGTTTCTCCATTCGTTCCTAATTATGTTTTTTTTCCTAATGTTTTCTTTTTATAATCTGTCATTTGCTTTATTCTTGGTTTTATTTTAATTTTTAATATTTTCAGAAACATTTTAGGATGTAACTTTTTAACATCTCCATCAAATTTATTTGGCTACTTTCACATGACATAACAACTGTCTCGGTATTTATATTCTTTTTAATTTTTTTCAATAAAATTTCCCGTTCCTTTGCTTGTTGCTGTTTTATTTCTTCGATTTTATCTTCTATCTGTGGTAATTTTATTCGTGCAATTTGATTTATTTCTGAACTTCTATCTACTCCTTTTAAGATTGTTTCTTTCATATGTTTTTCTAGGTTTCTCAGGTCTTCCTTACTCTTTTTCCCATCTTCTTTTATTTCACATATTTCGTCCATAATTTCATTTTCTATTACTTTCTTAATTTTCTGTTCCTGTAATTCCTCTACTTCAGTTATTCTTCCAATCATCTCTATTCTTAGTTCTTTCTTCGTCTCTTCTATCCTACTTTGTGTCTCCAATTTTGACTCCTCTATTTTCTCGTCTGTATAGTTTTTTAAATCTCGTGTTACATCTTCTATTTTTTTTCCTATATTTTGCACTTCTTTTTTAATTTCTTCATTATTTTCTTGAAATTTATTTTCCAAATCTTCTTTGATATCTTCCAATTCTGCTCTCATTTGATTTCCTAATTCTATTTTATTGGTATCCAACTTTTCCTCCATTTTCTTCGTATTCTGTTTCATTTCTTCTTTGTTTTGCATTATCAATTTTATTAACATTTCCAGGTTATCATTATATAAACCCTTCTGTTCCATGTTTGTATTTTCTTGTCTGCCTTCATTTCTATTGTCTGGATTTTGATTCTCTTCCATATCTATTGATTCTGTTGAATCTTTTACTTTCTCTTCATTGCTATTTTCTTTTACATTTTGTATTGTAAATTCTTCTGTATCTCCCTGTCCTTCTCCTTCTTTATCCATCTTCTTTTTTCCACTTCTTAAATCCAATTGACTCATTTCTTTAAATTATTCAAACTATTTCTATAATTCACTTGTTATATTTATAAAACTATGACACCCACTAAATTGATTTTTCACTATTTTAATTACCAATTTTATGTATTTTGTTTTAGATATATTAAGTATAATAAATCAAGAAATTGACAGCTGTTATTCTAACACCCTGTTATTTGTTTAAATATATAATATGTACACCACTGTTATTTATAAACCACTTATTGATTAGAAAATTTGTAATATTTTAATTTTAATTTAAAAATGTATGTGTACGCCACTGTTTATTTTAATTGAGCCCTATATTGGCTAGCGTCATTTGTGATGATATATTTATGTTGCTTAAGATTTTTATTTTCTTTTAATTTAAACACTCAACACTTTACTAAAGAAAATATTAAAAAGTGATTTTAATTTGTATTCATTTAGCTCCAAATAAATAATTTTAATAAAAAGATAATCAACTTTAATTCAAATTCTTACTCAATTTTTCCTGGCCAGCTTCAGTCAAAATGAACAGTTTTGTTTAACATTTAAAGTTATCAACACTTACAGTACATACTACTAGTGACGTCACCATGCAA